CATTTCAGGGAGAGCTGCACGGCCACAGGATCTGTCATTTGAATTCTGTCTGGTGTCCTCAGCTATTCGTTATACTCAGACATCAACACTAAAACAGATGATCAGGTCATTATTGTGCTGTTAGTGGGAGCTTGCTGTGCAGAGGCTTCAACATTACTTCAAAAGTACTTAAACAGTTTTGAACATTATGAAAGAATTTCTTTAGTATTGCACATTTTCCTTTCTGTGTATTTTTACAGCATCTGGTTATAGAGGGACTGGAGAGGTAGTCAGGCTGTTCAGCAGAGATTAAAGTAGTTATTGCCCGGAAAGTGCAAAAGCAGCTTAGTTCAAGAAAATTCGAAGGTGCTGTCTCAACCAGGTGTCACTCATCGAAAACTCTGGTGCCTGTAACCTCAATCCCCACTAAACTCCACTGTTCATGGACCTACATTGACTCCCAATCAAGCAACTTTTGCAAATTAAAATTCGCATTTGCCTGTTCAAATCCCTCCACATCTCCCTTCAGCCCAGCAACTATTTAAAACCACCGGATTCCACCAAATTTGGCTTTTGAACAAATTGGGTCTTTCTTTGCCCTTTGTGACTGTTCTTTAAGTTTTCTCAGTTTTTGTATGTCAGGGGCACTGCAGACATGCACGTTGTTGTTGTATCAATGCCACGGTTAGCTCGGGGAGACTGACACAGATCAGATATAAATGGTGAACACAAGCTGCTCCGAGCCCACATTCACACATCTTCAGTCAACAGCTCAACAAACAGCTTAGAGAACAGCCCACAAAGCAACAACTCACCCACAGGGTGTCACAGACCTGTCGCTGTCACTGGTTGGGCCAGCCACAATGCTCAGAACTTTCAGAATCAAAGACAAGGTGAGATGGATTAGTGTCTCACAATGGAGTCACGAAAACATAGACTTGTTGCCAAGCAGAAAGAGGCCATGCAGCCCAATGTGCCTGTTCTGACTCTTCAAATGAGCATCATTCCCTGGTGCCAATTGCCTGCCTTTTCCCCATCTCCCGGCACAGTATTTCCACCCAAATAACTATCCAATGCCTTCTTGAACATCTCAACCGAACCTGCCTCCACCACATTTCCAGGCAGTGCATTTCAGACACCAACTTATTGCTGGGTGAAAAATGTTTTCTCTTCACATCAACCTTGCTTCATTTGCACATCACTTTAATTCTGTGCCTGTCTCCCTCTTTTTCCTTTTACAAGCGGGAAGTTTCTCCCCATCTACTCTATCCAACCTGCTCATGATTTTGAAAACCTCTATCAAATCTCCTCTCAGCCTTCTCTCTCTGAGGAGAACAGCCCCCAACTTCTTCAATCTCTCCTCATCACTGAAACTCAGGTAACTTCACACAAAGGGGAGTGAGAATCTGAACTTCTCGCACCTGCATTCCCCACCCCGCTGAGGATGCTGGTCGGGGTGGGGGGTGGGGGGAACTGGGATCAACTGGAAATTTTAAAACTGAGATGGATAGATTTTTGCTAAATTAGGTGATAATGGTTTAGGAACTAAAATGGACAGATAGAATTAAGATACAGATTGTTGCAACAAGCTCAAAGGATTAAGGACTTTGTTCGATTGGAATTCTATGCTGCCTGTAAGCAGGAAGGGAAATGGGTCCATTAGGATTATGTCACATGGGAGTGAATGCTAAAGACAAAGGAAGGCATCTGTTGAGATTACGCCAAACAATTAAGGCAAACTGGGACATGTCAAGAAATTGTATAACTGATCAGAATTGCTGATGGATTCCAGGTGAAAAATTATTTGTGACCAGCAAAACCCCCACAATAATTTAGCCATTATCCCTTCATAATAAGGAATTGGAACTGCAGCACATGAATACAGAAATATCAAAACAGGATAGAACATGGTTAGTCGCAAATCGGGGGTGGGGGTTGGATTCTGTTTTACATTGAATAAAGGGGCAGATAATGAGGGGGAGTCAGTCCGTGCACACACAGGGATCTCAACAGCACTGACACGTCGTCAATTCAGTCAGTTATAATTTCTCAGTTTACGATGGTTGTGTTGATAAAGAAACCACACCAACATTTCAAAACAAGGTGTTTATTCCTTAGAAGGAGGGGGAGGTGACAGGGTTGAGGTACGCATTGGAGATCAGTGGAGAGGGGTCACTCTTAGATCAATCAGTCACACTCTCCACTGGGGCTGTTGTGAAGTCATAGGTTCTGGATCCCAGTCCAAAACCAGAGATTTCAGGACATTCTTCTGACACTTCAGTGAGTGCTGCGCTGCCCGAGGTGTCATCTTTGTGACAAGGTATAAAACAAGAGAAATACCTGTCCTCTCTGGTGGACAATAAAGACTTACAATAAAAATTAAAGACCAGGCATGTTTTCTCCAGGGTTATGGTCAATATTCACAGCCAACACAGGTTGGGGATTGTTTTCCCTGGAGCATCAGAGGCTGAGGGGTGACCTTATAGAGGTTCATAAAATCATGAGGGGCATGGATAGGATAAATAGCCAAGGTCTTTTCCCCAGGGTAGGGGAGTCCAAAACTAGAGGGGCATAGGTTTAAGGTGAGAAGGGAAAGATTTAAAAGGGGCCTGAAGGGCAACTTTGTCACACAGAGGATGGTGCGTGTATGGAACGAGCTGCCAGAGAAGTGGTAGAGGTGAGTACAATTACAACATTTAAAAGGCAAATGGATAGTGAAGGTTTAGCGGGATATGGGCCAAATGCAAGCAAATGGGACTAGTTCAGTTCAGGAAACCTGGTTGGTGTGAACGAGTTGGGCTGAAGAGTCTGTTTATGTGCTCTATGACTCTAAATGGATATTAAAATGATGCTGTTTTTCACAGCCTGCCATGCTTTCAAAAGTACAATAATGGGTGCACTTAAAAAGTATTCATAGGCTGTATGCCGCGCTGAAAAATACTAAGGTTGTGTTAGGCGCTATAGAAATGCAACTGCTTTACTCTCCCGTTTTTGATAACAACTAGGGTTTGAGTTTGGAGGAGATGCCATGTTAGTGAGGACGTAGGACATAGCTGTTCAATGGAGACTGGCATAGTTGTCACTCCAAGTGTACAAGTACAACTTAGTCGAAGAACAGTTCGACACAAATAATTCTTAACCAAGCCACTATCTGTAATCTAACTCACCCCAAATCCCGCTTTCCTTTCACGCACTGCACTGAATCCAGTCCAGCACTGCCTGTAATTTAAAATTCTCATCCAGATTCAAACCCTCCATGGCCACACCTAATTTTTGTAAACTCCGGACCAACAACTCCCCAGATCCCTGCCTTTGGGACTCAGCAACATGGGAACATAGGAGCAGGATCAGGCCATTCAGCCCATTGAACCTGCTTTGCCATGCAATAGAATCATGGCTGATCATCAAAGTTAATGCCTTTTATTCTACCCTATCCCCATATCCTTTTCTTTCCTTTATTCATTCACAGGATAAGGGCATTGCTGGCTAGGCAGCATTTATTGCCCATCCCTAATTGCCCAGAGGGCAGTTAAGAGTCAACCACATTGCTGTGGGTCTGGAGTCAAACGTAGGCCAGACCAGGTAAGGATGGCAGTTTCCTTCCCTAAAGGACATTGGTGAGCCAGGTGGGTTTTTCTGACAATCGGCAATGGATTCATGGTCATCATTAGACTCTTAATTCCAGATTTTCTTTATTGAATTTAAATTCCACCATCTGCAGGATTTGAACACGTGTCCCCAGAACATTAAACAAAAAATCACAGCAGGTCAGGCAGAGCTCTGAAGAAGAGCCATCTAGACGCGATTAGAGTCTTCACCAGAGCTCTGTCTGACCTGCTGTGATTTTCAATTCAGATTCCAGCATCTGCAGAAGTTATTCCTCCCAGAACATTATCCAAGTCTCTAGATCAACAGTCGAGCAATAATACCACTAGGCCATCGCCTCCCTGCCATCCTGCAATGGTTCAATAAAGTAGCTCACCCTCACTTTCTGCAGGGCAGTTTGGGATATGCAACAAATACTGGCCTAGTCATCCCACAGCCTATGAATGAATGACAAAAAAAAATACTTTTACAGTATTAATATTAGAAATCTACCAATCCGACTCTAAACACAAGAATTTTTCCACAACCCTTTGGGAACGAGACTTCCAGAAATTCAAAGTAAAAATATTTCCCCTCATTTTGGTCTCATGTGGCTTCCCCTTATTTTAAAATTTATCTCTTATATCTAGACTCCCCAACTAGGGAAACATCTTACCTGCATCTACCCTGTTTATCCTCTTGAACATTTTTGTAGATTTTAATGAGATCAGATCTCATTCTTTGAGCCTCTAAAGAATACAGGGCCAATTTCCCCAAATCTTTTTTCATAGGACAGTCCCATCATTTTTGAAACAAATCTGGTGAACCTTTGTTACACCCACCCTCTCTTGCAATAATATCCTTCCTGTTGTAAGGAGGCCAAAACTGCACACAGTACTGAAGATGCTGTTTAACCAGAATTCTACACAATTGAAGCAAGGCTTTGCACTCATGTATTCAAATCCTCTCACGATAAAGGCTACAATATCACTGGCTTTCCTGATTTCTTACTGCAGCTGCATGTTAGCTCTCAGTGAATTAATGAAAAGGATACACAGGTCCATTTGTACATTATACTTTATAATTTCTTACCATTTAAGGAATACTATGCATATCAATTCCTCCAATCAAAATGGATAACTTCATATTTTGTCCACATCTTTGGGATTCCTCCAATTCTTCTCCCAACTGCTTATCCTTTGCCCCACCAGCCACAGATCTTTAAACTATCACATTTACTATGTAACATTGGACTTGATCACATGGACAGTCCAAAGATCATGAAGCAGGGATTTCTTACTCCACTTATTTAAGGCCATTACAAACTTGAAGAGTCATTAATGTTAAACAAGGAAGCACAATATTTTCAGGAAATTAAGCCTTTGTTTCACACCTAGTTAAGAAAATCATTTGTCTGTCTTATCCTTTATCCCATCAGGCCTCATTCCTCCAAAGACACCCTTCCATTGGCTACTCCAGCCGTCCTTCCTCACTGTCGCCATCTGCTGCTGGAGGTCCTGTTGCAACTACATTGTAAGTTCTATATAAAAATAACTTGTTTTTCTATTAAGAATGTGGTTAGCTTGAGGAGATTGACACAACAGAGTCACAAACAGTCAAACACAGTATGTCTGGAATCCACAATCATGAATTGTCAGTTAGGAACTCAACAAACTGCAGAGAACAACTCACAAAACAACATCTCACTCACAGGACATCACAAACCCATGGCTGTCACCAGGCAGACTGGCCTGGAGTCTCAGGGCTTTCAGAATCAAAGACATGGATTGCTTATTGTGGTAGGAGGCTGTAGTCTATTGTTATTATTTGAGAACTTTGGTTTGAAAGCGGAGGAGAAATATGTCTTAATTTTACTTCTGTGAAAGTGACCTTTTTTTAAAGAAGTCAGAAGTCATCTTTGAATGGTTAGCACGAACATCATTTCCACAAATGCACATGACTTAAGTGACTTGTAAATTAGCTGGGGAATTAACTGATGAAATGTATATACACTGGAACTCCCATGGCTACAGAAAGACAAATGGTCAGAGATCACCATCAGGTTTCAGTTCAGAACTGCAGTTTCATACTAGCAGAAGGACAATTAGTTTTTAGACATTGTAAGAATTTATGTAGAAGTTTTCAGCTGTCAGAACTTGAAAGAGGTTCAGTCCATCAGAGCTGGATTCTGTCAACTACATAAGAAATCTGAAAGTGAAGATAGGAATGATGCTTCATTGGGATTGAGTAACTGTAAAGGATATTTATGGGAAAAGGGTCGTATCATGAATTTTCTTGTTCATATAAAGATCTTTCTAAATTGTCATATAGATATATGTATGTAGCCTTGTTTTTCTTCTTTGTAATAAACTTTTGTTCTTGTGTTAAAAATGCATCAGCAGACTCATGTGAAACTGATAACAGTATTCAAGGTATCTAATTAGTGCCTTGTATAATTTTAAGAAGACTTCCCTATTTTTATACAGCATTCCATTTTGAAATGAAGGCCAACATTTCACTTACTTTCCTGATTATCTGCTGAACTAGTTTGTTATCCTTTTGCAATTTATCTACAAGGTCCTCCAAATCCCTCTGTGCTGCAGCTTTCTGTAGTCTTTCTCCATTCAAATAATATTCAGCTCCTCTATTCTTCCTGCAAAATGTGTCAGGCATGATTTCCCCTTCATGAAGCCTTGCTGACTCTGCTTGATCATAGGAAAGGTTGAGGGAGCTAGGGCTTTACTCTTTGGAGCGAAGAAGGATGAAAGGTGACTTGATAGAGGTATACAAGATGATGAGAGGCATAGATACAGTGGATAGTCAGAGACTTTTTCCAGGGTGGAAATGACTAATATGAGGGGGCATAATTTTAAGGTGATTGGAGGAAGGTATAGAGGAGATGTCAGAGGCAGGTTCTTTACACAGAGAGTGGTGGGTGCGTGGAATGCGCTGCCAGCTGTTGTAGTGGAGTCAGATACATTAGGGACATTTGAGCGACTCTTGGATAGACACCTGGATGATAGTAAAATGTAGGGTATGCAGGATAGTTTGATCTTAGGGTAGGATAATAGGTCGGCACAACATTGTGGGCCGAAGGGCCTGTACTGTGCTGTACTGTTCTATGTTCTATATCATGCATTTCTAAATGCTCTGCTATTCCATCCTCTAGATTTTAACATTTTTCTAGTGACAAATGTTGGTTTAAATGGGGTTGTTGAGATTGTACCTAACTACTGACTGTGAATGCTGGTAGATAAGCAAATATCTGTGCAGCTGAGAATTCCACCACAGATACTAGTGAATTCCAGGTACCTAACTATTTTCAATCAGCAAAACTACAACTATTTAGCAATATTCCCCTTGCAATTACCACACATTGCACCAGGTATATGAGAATCAATAGATTCATATTGAAATATTAATCTAGACAGAACATGGTCAGTCCCCAGTCGGAGGGGTAATTCTGTTTTACATTGAACAAAGAGGCAGATACGGAGGGGGAGTCAGTCCGTGCACACAGGGATCTCAATACCAGTGACACATCATCATTGAGTCAATTATAATCTCTAGGTTTATGATGGTTGTGTTGATGAAGCAACCAGACCAACATTCCAAGGTATTCATTCCTTAGAGGAGGGAAGGAGATAACAGGGTAGAGCTGCTCATTGGAGATCAGTGGGGGTGGGAGTTGGTCTTGGCTCAGTCATGGGGCAGGGGTGGTCAGTCGTGGGGTCAGTGCTTGCTCAATTAGTCACACTGATGCCTGGGGCTGTCTTGATGCAGAAAGCTGCAGGTTCCAACCTGATGCCGCAGTAGAATCATTTTTCTGACATGTCAGGGAGACCTGCACTCCACGCATGGCTGCCTTTCAGATCAGGCTTTAACAAAAGGCCCATCTGCTCCTAATGAGGATGATGAATATTATTTTGGGATCTTTGCAGCAGGCAGCAGCTTCTCCCCCTGAAGAAATAACCAGTAAAACTAATGATGACTTACACTGGTCTAACTTGGCTTGTCCATCTCGGAGCAATGTTCTATCAGTGCATTCATTTCCAACTATTACTGTTTTTCTTTTACTGTGTTTTTTCCCTGTAGCCCTGGACCTGATTCAATCCTCATCCTCATCCAGTATCACCAAGCCAATGGTCTGGGTCATTACCATGTGGCTGTTTGTGGGAGCTTGCTGTGCAAAATGAGACTGTGGCCTTTTCATGTTATAACAATGCATACACTTCAAAATACTTAACTGTCTGTTTTCTCCAAACAAATTCTGAGTTGTGAATGGCAATAGAGAAGTGTTAGCTTTTTCTGTCTTCCAGTCTTTGTACTAATTGATTCAGTGGGTGGTGAGGTGTAGGGGTTGGAAACTGGATGGGCTTCTTCTGGGCTGGTGGGGAGGGCTGTCCTGTGGAGATTTGTCCCTCAAGCAGGACAGATACAACTTAGTCAAAGAAGATTTCAACACTCCTGCTTCTCACAGATACCACCCATCTATTGCTTCCTGCATTCTAATCCATAGCAATCCCATTGCTAGTTCACCTACTGACTTAAACTGGCTCCCAATCCTTTAACTCCCCATCCTGTGACTGAAGTTCTCTTCTCTCCATGGCCACCTCCAATTCTTCCTCTCTCCCTGTGACCTCCTCTGGGCCAACACGAATCAGAGATCTCTGGGTTCCTCCAATTCTGCTGTTCTTCCAAATTGGTTTTCCTTGACTCAATCATGGTGGCCATGCCTTTAGCCATCTTGGTTTTACAACATTAAAGGTGCTATATAAATTTGGCATGTTGTAATATTAACATTGGGCATAGTTTGCGTCAATTGGCACAGAACAGACGGAAACAGACGAACAGAAATACTTTCACTTCCGGCACTTAGTAATAGTCTGGGACTTGTTTCACTGGAACGTAGGAGGTTGAGGGGTGACCTCATAGAGGTTTGTAAGATCATGAGGGGTATAGATAGGGTGAATAGCAAAGGACTTTTCCCTACAGGGGGAGTTCAAAACCAGGGGGCATATTTTTAAGATGTGAAAAAAGAGATTTAAAAGGGACCTGTACTGATTGTAACGAGGTCAGCCAGGTGGACCTCATAGAATATGAGTTCCCCAATTGGTGCTGTTAATCTGGTCCAGTCACAGAGCCCTGGCTGACAGAAATAAATGGAAGTATCAGGGGTTCTGTTCACTCTGAGAGCTGGCTCTAAGGGAGCTAGATCAGTGTCAACAACAGTCCAAGTGTAAATAAAGAGTGACTTAGTGATGGGATGCCAGCCTCTGTGGGGTTTTTTCAGGCCCTGAGGGGCAACCTTTTCACACAGAGGATTGTTTGTGTGTGGAATAAACTGCCAGAGGAAGTAGTAGATGCAGTTAACATTACAACATTTAAAAGACATTTGGACAGGTACATGAATAGGAAAGATTTAGAGGGATATATGGCAAACATAGGCAGTGGGGCTAGGTTAGTTTGGGAAACTTGGTTGGCATGAATGAGTTAGACCGAAAGGTCTGTTTCCATGTTGTATGACTCTAAGCAGCAGCGAACTACACCCAAAACAATACCTTGTCCACAGGATGTTACAAAGCTGCACTTGTCTCTGCCTGGAATCTCAACAATGCTCAGAATGTTTATGATTTGATGGTATGGTGTTCCCAAAGGACCATTCTACCACAAGTATGTACTGTAGGAGTAAAGATTCTTGTGGTGCTATGGTAGTCATCCCTACTTCCAGGCTAGAAAGTCCTGGGGTTTTTACAGAAGGTGTTTCATAACACTGAGCAGGTTGATTCAAGATTCCCACATAGTAGGAGTGAACTGGAATGAGGTTTAGTCCATTGGGATTGTGTTGAATTAGAATTAATGGGGCAAATGTATGGAGATTGTACCTAACAGCTGGATATTTTGCAAGAAATTGTGCAACTGGTCATTCAGCCAGAGAGGCTTGTGAATTCCAGGTAAGTAGCTCACTTCAGCCAGACAAACCACAATTATTTATGAGTTCACTTCATATAATTGCCACATCATGTCACTCTGGGACATAGAATGTCACTGGTTTAGTATTGAAGTATTAAATCCAGATTGGACATGGTCAGTTACTAACTGAGGATTGTGTTATCTTAAACACACAGAGGCAGCTAATCAGGAAGGCACACTCTGTGCACACAGGAATCTCAACATCAGTGATGCATCAGTTATAATCTCTCAGTTTATGATAGTTGTGTTGATGAAGTAACCAGTTCAATATTCCAAAACAAGGGCAGCACAATGCCTCAGTGATTAACACTGCTGCCTCATCACACCAGAGACCTGGGTTCAATTCCAGCCTCGGATGACTGTCTGTGTTGAGTTTGCATGTTCTTCCTGTATCTGCATGGGTTTCATCCGGGTGCTCCGGTTTCCTCCCACAGTCCAAAGATGTGCAGGTTAGGGTGGATTGACCATGCTAAGTTTCCCACTAGTGTTCAGGAATGTGCAGACTAGGTGGGTTAGCCATGGGAAATGCAGAGTTACGGGGATAAGGTATGGGGGTGGAT